AATGATTCACTCTTAGGATTCAATGATTCACTCTTAGGATTCAATGATTCAATCTTAGGATTCAATAATTCACTCTATGATTCAATTATTCAAATTTAGGATTCGATTATTCAATTTTAGGATTCAATGATTAAATCTTAGGATTCCATGATTCAATTTTAGGTTTCAATGATTCACTCTATGATTGAATGATTCAATTTTAGGATTCAATGATTCACTCCATGATTCAATGATTCACTCTTAGGATTCAATGATTCATTTTTAGGATTCAATGATTCACTATATGATTCAATGATTCAATTTTAGGATTCCATGATTCAATCTTAGGATTCAATGATTCATTCTATGATTCAATAATTCAATTTTAGGATTCAATGATTCAATTTTAAGATTCAGTGATTTACTCTTAGGATTCAATGATTCAATTTTAGGATTCAATGATTCACTCTATGATTCAATGATTCAATTTTGCGATTCAGTGATTCACTCTATGATTCAATGATTCAATCTTAGGATTCAATGATTCAGTCTATATTCGCAAAAACGGTTTTAAAGTCATGTTTCTTGAGTAAATGAACCATTAAGGCTCCAACTCTTGAATAGAGATGACTTACTTTGATGTGTACAGGCCTTTTGTAGAGCTCCTATGTACTTCTCATCCGACTCAACAGCAAGCTCTTCCTAATTCTACATCAGCTGAGCAAATTCGATGCTTTTGTCATTGTATAGAAAATTTGACTACTCTAAAGAACCGAAGGACAAATTCAGACCTTTCAAACAAGATCTAGCTGATTTAGCGGATAGAAGTAGAAGTTTTAGAACGAGAAAGGAAATTCGTATTCAGTGGGGAAGTGGCTTTCTTGGATTGGAACTTGGACCACTTTCAGAAGGCCTTACAGAATTACTATAAAATAATAAGCATGAAGGGCATATCCTCATTCCAATCATGGATAGCGACAAACGATCATCTCCTGAACAGTGGAGATTTGAAGACATTCTTAAATATCTGACGTTGATGATGAACACGAAGTCGAAGAAATCCTTCATTCTATTTTAACGTCTACGCTGATTATGACTTGGAATGGAAAAGGATAAATCGTTTACAGAGGACATAATATACATGGAACTGACAATGTAGACCTTCTGGAATATTGTGTGTCGCCTTCTTATCCAGATATTCCCGAACCAACTGGATTGAGCATTTTTATAAAAGGTCTTGCAGAATTGGAAATTGATAAACGTCTAATCATAAATGGACATGTCCTTTCTGTGTTATAGCCACAATTGGTCCCGTCAGGATACACAATCTGATGATAACGCAACTTGTAACAGTTGTAACAAAGATATATACATCTCCCATTTGAGTACATGCCTTGTATGCACATGGACAGATTTTATCCGAATTGTAAAAGGTGTCGCTCTATGATCTGTGATTTTCAAATGTCCAAAGGAGATTTCACGCATGTAATCACCAGCTGTCCACATTGTCGCCGAGGTGAAATTATATATATCAGAACGGATGAAAGGCAGTCTTTTAACCATAAAATAGGCGAACAAAATGATATTTGATCAGTTGACTGCGTGAAGTTGAACTGAACACATCAACATGCCGAGAGGTACACTTGTTGTAGACGAAAAACTACTGAGAGACCATTTCATGAGACAACAACGTGGTGGGAATATCACTGGGTATCGTGGTGCACGACTTCAAAGAGGATATGGGATCGGAGGTATTTTCAAGTGCCTTGCGAGATATGCTATCCATCTATTCAAACAAGGTGCTAAAGTTGTTGGGAAAAGAGCATTACAAGAAGCCACAGAAGTTGGTCAAGATGCACTCCAAGACAAAAATGCTAGAGAATCTGTAATGACTCACGGAGGTGACGACGTTGTTAAAGACTTTGCCGAACAAGGAGCAAAAGCCCTACTGCAACAAGCAGGGCGCGGAAGCAAGAGAAGGGAAGGCCAACGCAGTAATTTATCAACTACAAAGAGATTAGAACTGTGTTCTCATATATCAGTCCCAAGACATATCAAATGGATTACGGAAGATGAAAGCAGCCACGAAGATGAATCGGATAGCGAAACTTCTCAAACAAGTGACGATATATACTAGAAGCATAACTTTGTAAAAAGTTTTGAAGAAAAAGATGTATTTTAAAACTGAAATTTTGTGCAAACATTTGCCTGCAGAGCCCGTACTTTCCCACCCGCGCGATTTGCCTAACCCGTCCGCCTGATTAGTGTACAAATACGTTGTACTTTAATATATGCATGCACCCAAGCGTCGCTATTAATAACTGGCAACACATAGCAACGTATATAACGACCGCATATTTGATAAAAACATATTTATTTTTATGGCAAAATATATTACCACTGTTATAAACGTTTTTTCCTTCAAGTATTCTTGATAAGCTTTCTTATGATATGACTCGGTCATCTTGTAACAGTATATATGTATGTAGGAGGTTTCCTAAATAATGTTGAACAACATGCAACTTTTGACCATGACAACGACGTTGACAACCATGTTAACTTAGCAACTGCTTAGTTCGGTTTTGAAATATGTTGCGATTTTTTATTTCTGGTTGGAAACTTATTGCTCAAAACGGCTCCTTTAAGAGCAATCAAATTCATCGAAAAAATTAAAACGAATTTCGATTGCTTGTTGAAAATAAGAGAGAGATTGGGACTCACAATGTGCTACATGGCTGTAATCGAGAAAATTTTCTACCGTACCGGGGTCGAATCGGTGACCTAAGGAATACTGATTTGGTAATAACTACAGTCCTTTGCTCTACCAACTGAGCTAAAGGTAGATTTTAACTCAGAGATCCCAAGGATAGTGCAAAGTTTATATGACAATGATAATTAAGAATTATTTTGATTCGCACAATGTATGAAATAGCTCCATGGCATACTGTACCACATTAACGGTGGAAATTGTTCTTTATATTAGAAAATTACAAATACACGAAATTTCTTCGGTGTTCAATAATTCGCACAGTATAATATTACAGTACAGTACAGTACAGTACAGTACAGTACAGTGCAGTACAGTACAGTACAGTACAGTACAGTACAGTACAGTACAGTGACAGTACAGTACAGTACAGTACAGTACAGTACAGTACAGTACAGTACAGTACAGTACAGTACAGTACAGTACAGTACAGTACAGTACAGTACAGTACAGTACAGTACAGTACAGTACAGTACAGTACAGTACAGTACAGTACAGTACAGTACAGTACAGTACAGTACAGTACAGTACAGTACAGTACAGTACAGTACAGTACAGTACAGTACAGTACAGTACAGTACAGTACAGTACAGTACAGTACAGTACAGTACAGTACAGTACAGTACAGTACAGTACAGACACTAGTTCATTTAGTTCACTGGCGTCGCCGCCATTTAATTTAAATAAAAATGTAACCCTCGACGCCTCGATCTCGGCATGTTGCATCCGGTGCAATATTTCAATTTTATTACTGACACTGTATCTACAGTATTATTAGCCATTAGGCCATGTAAACCAGTCCTATAGCTCTATCGCTATATTACAATATTAAATAAGCTTGTATTAAACTGATATAAATCAGCTTCTGACTTATAATTTTACATCAAAATTATATCCACTGGCACTCAACCTATTCGTGTATACATCGCTCCGTATCTTTGATAGATAAACCTCTTTGCTATAATACTGTCAACCTCAGTTGTAATACATTCTAGTCTAGACGATTTCACACCGCCGCTCAACAGTCACCGCTTGTCCATGCCCGGCATTGTGAAATGATATTACATGAGAGCACGTGTTTATTTCATTTGTTTTATGTTGCAGGGGGGATAATAGCAAGTGTTTGAAATGCAACAGTAATTTGTTTATAACTTCTCTAAATGTTGGATAAAATAAGTAAGAACATGTACCACAATGAATATAAACATAGATTTTATAATCTATAAACAGCTATAAACGATTAGTTGGCCGAACGTCGCGAAGCTCTAGAAAACGTAATATAAAATAACTCCCCCCGGATTGTTTGCACGATCGATCCATCGATCCATTGATCGGTCACTGAATTGAATTTAACCTCGTAGCAATAGTGCAAAGCAACTTTGCACTAAAAACTAACTTCTATTTCATACTTTTATACATGCCAACTATTAGAAACCTCTTGTCGTTTTATTACAAATTTGTCAGAGACTAGTTGTGATGATAATTGGTCGCGCTACCTGTCACATTTGGTCTGGGCTTGCCCAGCAAAGTGATGTCATAGATTTTGCATTACTTCTGGCAACATATTTTGCACACTAAATACTTCCGTTGCCAGGGTGGGGTCTTTTATTACTGAATTGAACTACTTGAAAAATCAAGTAAAACTTCAACGTTTCGGGCGAAGATCCTTCGGCCTTCACTCGATCGAAACGTCGCACGAAGAGCAGTTGCCCGAAACGTCAACGCTTTATTGTGTTTTTCATGGTAGTTGAATCCTTCTCAATTCGCGGCTTTCTGGTGTTATTGTCACTACCTACACTGGCATAGGCGCTTTAACCTTCTCTTCTGCAGGTTGGAAGCTTACCAAATAGGCGACCGCGTCATATCTTGACAGATTATGCCAAAGCAAGCCAATCACAAAACATGTTCATCTTTTGTTGATATTTGCTAGGCATGCAGTGAAGATCGATGCCATGCAGGAGGACTTTTCGAACAATAAAAAAACGATTCTAATCAACACCTTGTACTCTTACAAAATGGCCAGCTTCTTTATTAGGTAATATTATATTAACATTGTATTACAAAAAAACAAAACAGTTAAGCTGCATCAAATGCATAATATTTGTTGATTAATAATAATTTTCACTAGTGTGATTTTACGCGAGGATTAGACAAAATTGAATGTTCTAGTTTCTGATCCAATTTAGTTAGCGTAAATTTTCGCTTTGAATGAGGCCAAAAAATAGTTGAAAACGTTCACGATGATCATCATTTCTCACACGATTTTAATATCAGCACAGTTGACAAAACTCTCGGGTCTTTCGCCCATCCAATTATTTGCTGTGGTGTACCACCATTGCATTACGCAGTGAGCACATCTCAATCCCTTTGGTAGCCTCAGTCTCATGGTGTATTCCGCAGCGGGGCGGTTACCCAGGACCCAGCGATCTTCGCCAGTAGGCAGCATTAACACATGTTGATCGAGTTGTAGCTGGGTAATGGGTGCACTAGTTAACCGAGCCACGCGGAACGTGAAGTATCTGTAGAAACAATAATTCATTTCACATTATAATCAGATTTTGTAATGTGCTGGGGCCGGTTGTATAAAACCATTAATCACTTTTTTAATCACTATTTTGTAGTTAAATAGTGATTAACTCTCAAATAGGCGCTTCTTATTGGATGACGTTTGCACTTAATCATAGTTAACTTTAATCACTTTTTTATACAACCGGCCCCTGATCTGTATAGAAAATGCCTGTTCTGAGTATATTTGCGCAGTTCTATGAAAATGAGCGTGTGGGGAGAGAAATATGAGAGCAAATGTGGCTTAAAATTTGCTTGTTGTGGCCATTTGGGGATCCAGCGTAAAGCGTATAGTAATTGACATTCAAAAGCACGTTCCTTGGGAAAACCTCCAGACCTACATTTATTTACAAGAACTCACAAACATAAATATTTGCATTAATCATGCAATGTCGTCATAATAAAAGTGCTATAGTAGGCTATACTTTGGGTAAAATTGTAAACTTGTAATTCGAATTCTGGTCATAATCATTCTCTATGTATAATTTATTATGCTTTTGTCATGGCATTTGCGTCTTTAACTTTAAAGATTGTTGCGAAATTATTTATGATGATCAATCCAACGGAATTCGTTGTGTGGCGCTAAAATAATTTTTTCATAAAGATCAAGTTCAGCGCTACTTTTCACAGTACCCTTTGTGTGCTGCAGTAATTTTCACTTTAACGGTGATAATCTGCCCGGCTTGATAGGTCTCCACAACGGGCGGGTTGTTGGCCCACACTCCTGGATAGACGAACTTAGGATTGGCTGCAGGAAATAGAAAAAGAAAAATAACTCTATTTAGTAATACTTATATACAGATTGATTGCACGACCCCATTTTTGCTGAACCAATACAACACCGATATGAGCGCTGTAATGTAGTGAAACAACTCATATGCAGACAATTGCATATTACAAATTAAACACTCGCTGTTGTGACAGATAGAAGTGTGATAGTTTAATCAATAGTCCTTGAAAATAATTAGGATTTTCAATTTGTATGCATGGGATTTGGAAGGGTATATGTGAGGATATCTTTCATGAAATTCAGGAGCACGATCACAAAATTTCAAATTTAACTGGTAATAGTATTATCTTTCATGGGAAATAAGTATTTTTAGTATTATTGATCTCATTCTAAGTCCTTTCGTACATATATATATGAACCAATTTAGTGTGTTGTGATAATATAGTGGTTCTCTTTGTGGGCTTTAACTTTATACAAAATATTCAAACATTTCTTGTAAATAAAGAAATATGCTGCATTTATCCTAATTTTTATAGGGTCCTCGATTAAGCTAAACGGGGGTAGGGGTGTATGTGAATATAGTCAAATTACCCGATTTTTAAAATTACGTTTCGTGTTACCCAAAACCTATATGTTTGAAATTGATTGTGGTTATTTCATGAACATGCAAGTCATTCGCGAAGCTGATGAAATTAATTTGAGTTGTCACCCTGGAAGATCCTTTCATCTTAGCGGGGCAATGAAGTGAATCCTACCAGGAAGTTGTTGAATTTCATGGCCATGAACACCAAAAAAATGATGCGCCAAAACTACCAGAATGCTCACCCCGAGAAAATTTCGAATATTTAGCCCCTTTATGAAAAGGTCCGAAAGTGCAACTAAAATTTAAGCTAGCGTTAATTCTTTGTTAAGTTACATGTTTGCCCGTAAATGCTGTTTTAATTTACCTGAAAATTAGCTCAAGTTACCACAAAATTTACTTGAAATTGATCATGAACAAATATTGTGGGTTAGCACACTCCCGGCTCCCCTACACCCGCAGACTTTACGTCGTTGGCACGAGGACACTTGCTCCTTCTAGACAAGTCAGGTATTATGCAAAAAGTACACATGGCTTTTTTACACGAGTTATTAATTATCGGCCCGGAAACAAGAAAAATTATTGTACAGCATATGTACATTTTTTATCCAAATTTAAACAAAATCCAATCGATTTGTCTTTCGCCTGCACGATCAGCTGTACAAATAGGAGTATTAGACAACACAAATAGGGGTATTAGACTGTACAAAAAGGAGTATTAGACTGTACAATTAGGCGTATTAGATTGTACAAATAGGAGTATTTGACTGAACAAATAGGAGTATTAGATTGTTTGTCAATTTTTTACGCAACCTGCAAACAACCGCGCACCAACAAACGAACCTTGTATAATGCAAGGGGAAATTAAATCACAGTATACATACGCGTTTACCAACCTATGCCATATTCATCCCCACAGACACCGCACTTTCCACCATGTACTTGCCACTGTTTACTCCAACCACCACAATTCAGACCGTTGTCATCATAGTTGGGTGGTCCAGGGAAACCCTTGCGCCAACGTGAGGCACGACCAGGTGAGTCTATGATATAGCCGTGGCCGTGGACCAGCGCAAGCAAGGTCGTGGAAAATATCGCCAACATAAAAGCTGTCTTCATTATAAGGTTCTAATGGAAGTGGAAATTACCTTGAAATTTTGATATTTGGAAACTACGTATATCTTTAAATAATTAAAACACAATACATATATTAAAAACTACGTTTATTAATCGTTTCCACTGATTAACTAAAAGAGAAAAAATGTAATATAGTGCCGGGTGGTCACGAAAAGTTTAACATTTTATTTAATGTTAGAAAAAGCAACTGGAAGGCTATTATACAGTAAGCGTCTGTCTCAAATAAATTTTTCTATAATTTCCCCAGCATGGATTATTTTCAATCTGAACGTTTTACGCTTTGCCTCAAATAGCAGCACGCGAGGAAAAATTGTTCATTAACTAGCTTGGTAAAATATGAACTATAAAATAACGCAACGTGCATAGCAGCTAGTTTTAATTGAACTGTTCAATTGTTGATATCATTTTCTATCAAGGAAAAAGAAGCTTAAAATTAAACATATATTTCGTACTGGACTAATGTAGGTATAATTTAGAGAATAAATAATTTACCAAGTTAATGGGCGAGGTTTTGTTTCCTTGGTGGTTGCATGGTCAAGTACAGTACATGTTAATCATAAAATATTAAAGTCAGTTTAACGTACCTGATAATATTCCAAATATAAGGCCAAGACCACCAATAAACAATACCGCTTCTGCAAGCAAAAACTTCACTGTGTCAGTTGAAAAGAAGCTGGGCTTTATATATGTTCCTCTAATGATACTGAAATGGAATGGGCATGCGCATGTCAAGGTATCAGCATGATGTGCGTGAGCTACTTATTGATGATATGGCACTTCCTACTCGAACTACTTCAGTTACTTAGCCAAGTGACTTTTCCGCACCGCTTTTGGCGACAGTATGACAGTTTTGGATTTGATTCAACTCTTTGAAATTTGTATCACAGTGTAACTATTTACAGGCTTGCTAAGATGTTTATAGGGTAAACTCCTGGGATTTTTTGTCTTAGCCAAATATGGAAAACCCCTTTCATTTGAAAGCATTTAAAAAATATTCCATGTAATACATCTCGATTACAGTTGCAAATGCGAGTATTGGAACAAACTGTGAGTTAGCTAGACGTCATGTCTGTCGGATGGTCAGAGTTTTCTCATTCACGAAGATGACACTTTTGTTTCTGTCAGAAATATAGCTATAACAGCATATTTAAAAAAAATTGGTATGATTTCCTAAAATGCAAAATTACACCATAGGAATTTTGGTAACATTATAGTGTAATTTGAAGTTTAATTAATCAGTTTCAATCAAGTCTATTATTATATGAGGTCTTCAGCCGTATGTAATCATCCCGTTACTATAAAACTTAATTTCAATAATTTGTGCTAAAAAACTGTACTGTTATCACAATCTTTCCCTATCGCCTTGTTTTCATGTAGGTGACAAACGACAGTTGAAGATGCGCTTGAGCTCAAGATCAAAGAGAACTATATTTGTGCGTATATATACATATATATATATATATATATATATATATATATATATATATATATATATATATATATATATATATAGCTTAAGTTTTTGGTTTACGAAACACAAACAGTGCTCAATACCATATAAAAAGAGCGTAATATAGTTTTTCGTTTTATCTCAAAAAACCACAACCACGATCTGTCCCATGTTGATATATATATATATATATATATATATATATATATATATATATATATATATATATATATATATATATATATATATATATATATATATATATATAGGACTTGTAGCCCAGCTGATAGAGCATCGATGTAGCAACGGGAAGGTTCCGAGTTCGAAACCCAGAAATTCTCGATCGTTAAGATAATTAGATAATGATAATTTAACATTGAACTTTAGAGACCATACAACGTTTGCCTTGATTTATCCAAGCACATGCAATATTTGAAACTAGTTGAAATTAAATGACTTAGTCCAAAATATGCACTCCGGCCTAGTGTTCATACAATATTCAGCTTCAATTCTGTCACCATTAACCTATTACGATTTGACCAGGAACTTGGGAATGGTAATAGCACGCATGCAGGTATAGTATCCAATATATTTCGATGTATTAATTTTTATAATATAAGTGGGATATAACAGACAATTTGATTACCTAATGCGCGTGCATTGTGATACAATAATGTACTGTGGTCCGTTGCACCGTAGCCAAAAATATAAACAAAACTATAGCTATTTTTAAATACAAAATTTATCAGAAAGCAAGAAGGAATATACCAAAGGAACAAAGCAATGTATCCATAGTTCTACGTGTAAAAACAGTAAAATTAAAAGGCTTGGCATTCGTCGAATTTGTTTTTGTCTCGACAAGTTCTGGGCAAAAGCGCACTCTTAAAAATAGGTGTGTTAAACAACATACCAAGGTGTGTTTTCTTGTCACTGAGCACACAAAGGTGTGCTACAATACACATAACGGTGTGCTACAAAACACACCAAGGTGTGCTACAAAACACACCGAGGTGTGGTGATTAGAACACAGTGTACGTAAAAGGTGTGTTCTGTAACACACCTTTAGCTAACACACCTTTCGAGTAAGGGTAAGGTGTGCTCAATTAACACACCTTTGAAAGATAACACACGTTTGGAAGATAACACACCTTTTAAAATAGCACACCTTTCTCCAATAACACACCTTTTTCTACTAACACATCTTTTTTGTGCCCCAAAATAACACACCTTTTTTCAATAACACACCTTAAAATAACACACCTTTGACGTTGTTAAATTAAGCACATCTTTTGGTGAATTGTTTGCTTTTGTAACACACCTCAAAAAAGATGTGCTAATTAAGCACGCCTTCGGAACAAACACACCTTTTCAACTTACACATTTTTCACAAAGGCACAGAAATATCCCATGCAAGGATCTCTAACCTATATTCCAATCTACAGTATTTATTTATTCAAATACTGTAGAAATAGGGCCGTATTTGCCATATAAATTCGTATAGTGAAAGAGCTGCAATTTCGTGTCAAATCATCACAAGGTTTAGCTGCTTGACGCGCTTTTTCAACCGTATGTTGCCAAGTCGGGTTGCTGTGTATTACCAGTATATCGGGTTCTTATTGTTGAATCGCAAACGCGGCTATGGAATGTAGCCAGAAATTCTCAGCAAGTTTTTCTCGTAAAATTAATCTAGCTATATTTTTTATTTGCTGCGTAATTAATTTGGTAATTTGAACTTGTGGAATGTTCTGTTGCGGAATATAATTTGCGACAAGTGGAAGTTTCAGAATTTCAACTATTTTTCAACCAATTAACATGCTTAAAATATATCACGTGTTGTAGTAATTCGATCTGTTGATAACAAGCGCTAAGTTCGATCTTTTGGGAGCAAACATTCAAAGAGGTAAGAATTTTTATTCAAATTTTCTACTTATAAAGTTCCAAAAACCTAACAAAATACATGGGATTTGTATTCAAAGGTATGTCTATTGTGTAATTACTCATTTGTATGCGGATAGTTACTTGATATACTGTATAGTTATGTTTTTAAATCGAAGGCCTGTATTTGTATTAATACTTTTTTACCGAAAGCATCTAAACGTTCAGTTGTAAATTTTCGATTAATTTCTATTAGCAGAAGTGTATAAATGTAATCTACAGTCTACTTATCTGTGTTTTAAGAAAATCCTATAGCTTATTTGTGTGATATACATGTATGTTATATTTCCTGTGAAATATTTCCATTTATAGTTGACGTGTATAGGCTACTTACAAATCACATAAGTACAATGTGATTTGTTTGAAGTCACATTAATAGCATATAGATAGCATTGTAATAGCCCATCTCCCAATATTTCCCAATGTATTGCATGTGCTTGCTATTGTAACCCTCCTATCAGTCACCCTAAAACATGTGTGAAGGGCTGCTTGTATGGTCAATATGGAGGAAAGCCAGCCCAGTTAACCCGGTTATAGCTCGCTTTCCCTGGATGAATGTCTGTTTACATGAGCCTCTTTATATGGGCAGGCTCACCAAATCGAATCACCCAGACTGAGTTTTATAAGAGAAGCACATTTTCCAATAACCGAGATCATACTTTTGCAGACAGTTTCGAAATGTAACTGACAAAAACAATTACCGAGATATTTTAACCCTTTAAGTGGCAATGCGCCCTACTTTATTATTTTACTTTGTCTAACATCAGAAAATTTTACTCGTCAGGAGGAGAATTAGCCCCTCAATGGTTTAATCAGACTATCTGCCTATAAGATGCACCCTGTTTATCCTGTAAGTGGCAATGTTGCTAGATGTGCCCAGATGTGCCCTACTTTATTATTTTACTCTGTCTTACACCTGACGATGTTACTCGTCAGGGGGAGAGTGCCTGAATCCAGTACATGCACTACAAAAAAATTATCCGACAATGAAAACATAAACTTAAAGATGCCCAGATTTTTGCTGCAAGGCAACTTGCCCAATCGTGCAAGCAAGATAAGACGTTTACTTGCCCATCATGAATTTCACTTGCCCCGGGCAAGTGTTAAGTTACACCTCTGCTTGCTTTGTATACTAGAAAACAACCAAAAATAGCAAATTCATTGTCACTTAATCAATAATTTGCTTCTGTTATATATCAACCTTATATATTTTTTCATAATAGTGGTTGTATTTAATAGGATTCATTATATCTGTGATGCTGAATGAAAAGTTATCGGAGCAACCCAGGAGAAGGCAAGTCATCTAAACAAGTGGCAATATATATAATCATTAATGGCATTCTAAGTACTTCATGGTCTATTTGGAAAATGTCATTCGTTTGCTGGAGAGCATGTTTATGGATTACCAAACAACGTAAGGAAAGGACTAGGAGTTGCCAACTGGTGGTATAGTACAGCTTGTTTTCAACTAAAATTTAAGTAATGGACTTGCACGACATATATATGCTTGATTGAGCACTGACACAACATGCAGTGTATTTTATTTGTAAATATTCAAGATTGAACAGAATGTTTAACACTTTAAGTGGCAATGTGCTCTACTTTACTATTTTATTTTGTGTCCAATGCAAGGTATGCTGCCACTAAATGGGTTAAAGTCTTTCTGTAGATGGATATATTGAACAATAACTATGTAATAGCTATTGTGCCGGGAATGGAACCCCTGTGATTCGGATCAGCTCCTTAATTGCAAAGAGTCCATCAAGCCCCAAGTGTCAATGAAGGTCACCACGAGTTCATGTATATAATACTAGTGTCATCCCAGTTTATTTAATATACTACAAATGACACTACCATGGTTTATATATGTACAGCAACTTGTGGTGACCTCTTGGCAAATGGACACTTTAAGTCAGAGGGCAGCAGTAGAATTGCAGGGCTGCAGGTTCAGTTCATGCTGGGGGACTTGCAATTGCTCTCTGAATTATTTGAAGTTTGTTCGTTCACTGCAACCAGGTATATCAATCATGCTTCCCTCGCTACTCTGGTTTAAATAAATTATTACAAAGCCCGGTCGAATTGTAATCAAGACCCAGTGTTTCGACACTCCAGTCTAGTGTCTTCTTTAGGGGTGGTCTAAAATACCCAAGGGATGGTCTTTAGGGGTGGTCTAAAATACCCAAGGTTTAAATACCCAAGGGATGACTTACCTGCCAATGAGATGCATGTATTCCTCTGGCAAATAGGCACCGCTATCCCTATTCACAGCATAATTGCTCATATTTATATGCCATGCTTCTAAGCATAATCTTTGACCATGATAGCGATAGTTTGTGGTAATTACTTTAGAGTTTTCCCACACAGCTTCGTGTTTGGTGTCACACACATGTTCTGCTAAAACTGATTTTCCCTTGTTTAAAGTTGAAACAGCCTTTTGTTGTTCTTTTAACCATGTACCAAACTGGTGTTTAGACTGACCCTAATACTCTTTTTCGCAGTCACCGCATGGTATAGAATATACAGCATGAGTTTTCTGATTTGTTTTAACAGGATCTTTTGGCTGTGCGAAAAATGGCTTAAAGTCAAATAGGGTTTTAAGGCAACCTTAATATTACATGCATCTCATTGGCAGGTGACGTCATCCCTTGGGTATTTAAGAAGCGACAATTGCAACTTTAGATCACCCCTGATGAAGACATTAGACAGGAGTGTCGAAATGTTGGGTCTTGATTACAATTCAACCGGTCTTTGTAATAATTTATTTAAACCAGAGTAGCAAGCGAAACATGCTCTCAGTTAGTTCTATGAAACACATGTTAACTGTACAGTCTCCATTTGAAATATCCATCTACGAAAACCCAGTGATCAGTCTGCTATTATTGTCTTACTAGAGTAGGCTCTTGATTGACTCCTATATTTAATATTGGCTATTTGCAACATCCCGCAATCCGTCATATTATACATATGTTCCCATGATATCATCAGTAAAAATTTGAACTTTCAACTGCATTCAAAGAATGTTATCGAGCGTACGAATGTATCATTATATGCTAAAGCAAATCGTATTTCGTGTTATAATACTGTATACCTTATATATAGAGGGATAATAAATTATTTTGACTTAAAAATGTCTTTATTGATTTCTAAGGTTAATCAATCAGGTGTGTTACAGCAGCACGCCTTAAGTTGTGTTACAGCAGCACACTTTAAGGTGTGTTACTGCAGCACGCCTTAAGGTGTGTTACTGTAGCACATCTTAAGGCGTGTTACAGCAGCACACCTTAAAGGTGTGTGTTACAGCAACACACCAAGGCGTGCTAACAAACACACCAAGGTGTGCTACTTGCATTATAAAAGAAATAGAAAAACTCGTCTCGTGCGTTTATGGTGTGATAATGCACTCTGGGAATGTTGTGAGAATACTCGAGAAGCGTGTAAAACACTCGGCTACGCGTCGTGTGTTTACACACTTCTCTCGTATTCTCCAATCATTTCCCGCGTGCATTATCACAACATAAACGCACGCGACTCGTTTTCAATTTCTTAAATAAAATCACACCAAATGTAAGTTGAATTAGTTTTTATTTACAATTACGAATTGTCGAAAATTGATAATTTAGTTTTGTCATAACAGGGAAAAACTTTGCTAAAATTATTATTAAACTTTCTGTGTTGCATTTGTATAAAGCAAGATCGCAACTGTGAGTTGGGGAAATGATTATATATACTTTAGTGCTAGCATTTGCATCCTTACAAAAAATTATATCAATTTACTGGCGACTGGCTACTGTTCTGTTATACATCGAGTATCTCAAAAATTTTACTTCACTACAGAAAAATGCTTTAAGCTGAATTATTTGCGAAAGGAGAAATAGATTTGTAAAACTAATTTACCCGTTTACTGTCTCAATATAATCAGATTATTATGTTTGCTAATTTGCCCACTTCATGCACTATGGAACAATTTTCTCTTATGTTCATCTGTCCCATGTTTATATATATATATACTACAGACTACAGACGGCACCGTTTCGGCCTTATGGGCCTCATCAGTGTAGTGCTGATGAGCAAGATGAAAGTAACTGCTATTTACAGTTACCTTTGATGCCTCACGATTGTGGGACATCAAAACCATGCCAGAGCGCTCAAACTGCAAGCAGTGAGCGTGCGCAATGCGTAAGCGACATGGCTCATCCTGTAGAGCGCTCAATATGACCTAAAGGCCATAGAGCGATATCTAACTACAGACGGTACCGTTTCGGCCTTATGGGCCTCATCAGTGTAGTGCTGATGAGCAGGATGAAAGTAACTGCTATTTACAGTTACCTTTGATGCCTCACGATTGTGGGACAGCAAAACCATGCCAGAGCGCTCAAACTGCAAGCAGTGAGCGTGCGCAATGCGTAAGCGGCATGGCTCATCCTGTAGAGCGCTCAATATGACCTAAAGGCCATAGGGCGATATCTAACTACAGACGGTACCGTTTCGGCCTTATGGGCCTCATCAGTGTACTGCTGATGAGCAGGATGAAAGTAACTGCTATTTACAGTTACCTTTGATGCCTCACGATTGTGGGACATCAAAACCATGCCATACCGCTCAAACTGACTCATCCTGTAGAGCGCTCAATATGACCTAAAGGCCATAGAGCGATATCTAACTACAGACGGTACCGTTTCGGTACCATATATATATATATATATATATATATATATATATATATATATATATATATATATATATATATATATATATATATATATATA